CACGTTTTTATCAATGTAATTGGGCGGTATTGAATGCAAAAACTGTTGAGGCAGTAATGAATTTTTGCATCGCTTGGATTATGCCCGATGGGGTTGATGATACAACGATAGTCCTAATTCCTAAGGTTTCCCACCCTAAGGAGTTGAAGGATTTCCGTCCAATTTGTATCAGTAACGTGGTCTATCTGTGTCCTATTTTGACTGAGCTCATATCAGAAAATTAAAGTGCGTTTAATCCGGGATGCCTTATTTCCGACAATTCCATCGTAGCTTTTGAATGCATTGATTATATGTAATCACTGAAGGGCGATGCATAGGGATGTTGTGCTTACAAACTTGACATTCCCAAGGCGTATGACCATGTGGATTGGACTTTGTTGTAGAATGTTTTGACCAAGTGTGGTTTCTCCCAAGACTGGGTCTCACGAATCATGGTGTGTGTGACCTCAGTTAAATATTCGATGAAGTGTAATGGCAAATTATTATAATCCTTTACACCTTCTCGAGGCAGGTGATCCTTTGTCCCCATTTTCATTCCTATTTATCACCGATGCCTTTTTCGACTGTTTAACAAGGCTAATACTCTACTCCTATAAAATACTCAGTTGGTGATGATTGGGTGTCTACCATCCGTCATTTCTGACCATCAGTTCTACATCTAACGACTGTGATGTAAGCTGTGGCATTTTTTGTAAGAAGAACCCGCTTCTCCGCTCCAATTTGGAGAAACCCCTTAGTATCTTGAAACCAACCACATCCATCCCCCACCTCATCAAAAAAGCCACGAGGAAGATATTTGAAGTGAAACCTAATGCAGGTATATATTTAGTCATACACACACACACACACACACACACACACACACACACACACACCAAAATTAGATTGTTTTTCTTTCAAGTTTGTGAACATATATTATTCTACTTTGGATCCGTTGCAACGCATGGGCACATTCCTAGTTTTTGTAAATTACAAAGGAAGTGTTTGAGCCAAAATACTTGGGACTAGTAGCACCAGAGGGTAGGATGCACATGGGCAGGTTGAAACATTTCAAGCAAGCTAAAGAAATAGGTTGAAAGATTAGAGTGAGGAATCCATGTCCAGTGGAAATAAAGGAATTCTAATCAAGTCAATAGCACAGGCCATACTCACATATGTTATGAATGTTTTCAGGTTTCCTACATCGGTGTGTGATGATTTGAGAAAACTTATGAAGCAGTACTGGTGCGTGGAAAAAGGAAAAAAGAAAAATGGCCTGGCTAAGTTGGGACAAGATGAATCATCCGAAGTCGAAGGGCATTATGGGGTTCCGTGACATGTGTGCCTTTAAACAAGCATTGTTAGCTAAGCAAGCTTGACGATTAATTGAAAGTCCATATAGTTTATGCATTTGTCTCCTGAGAGCAAAGTACTAACCAAGTGGAAATATTTTGTGAACGGTTCTCTCTGGCAATTCTTTGTTGGTGTGGAAAGGCATCAGTAATGACCTAGAGCTTGTGAAACAAGGCTTCATATGGAGGGTTGGGAATGGATCCTCAGTTAGGACGTGGCGGGATCCTTGGATCCCACTCGGCCTTGATTACCGGCCCATCACTCCAAAGAGGAATTGCAGGTTTAATTGGGCCTTGGATTTCCCGAACAAGGAGGGCACCTGGAATTTACATTGGTTGGAAGAGCACTTTTGGCCTTTGGACATCTGAGAGATTTTATTGATATGTATGTCACCGAGGAACTGACATGATTTCATCGTATAGTTCCCGGAAAACATGGCCAATTTACAGTGAAGCGTGTGACAAGCTAGCTCAGCAGTGCACAAGCAGAAGTTTGTTGGGGGTGCTTTGAGTAGCAATCCAGTGGGAGACCAGTCCCATTGGAACTATGTTTGGAAAGCAAGGGTTCCGATAACGATATATATTACCACATTGAAGGTTGAAGTTGGGGCACTGGCTAGGAACCAATGCAAAGTGTTTCTTGACTTATCCATACGGTTCATGTATGCTTTGTGGGTTGGAGAGGGAAATCACCTACCATGCCCTAGTAATGTGCAACCAAGTCAGAATCATTTGGAAGGCTATGAGATCGGTGTGGCACTCTCATGTAATGATGCTCTAATTGAAAACGGGAAGGAATGGTTGCTACATGTTCTCGCTGTCATCTCTCAGAAATATAAAATAACAACTTTATTATTGCCTCTAGGGCATATTTTCTTCACGTGTACCTCCTACTGGATTGATACTTTGGTTCTCAAATTGAGGGAAACACTTATCTCTACTTTCCTGCATCACCCGTTTCTCTTCAAAGGAAAAACCAACACAAGCTCAAGAAGTAGCAATCATCATAACTATGCGCAATTATGTCAATTTCCCAACACTATTTTTTTACCCATCGATGCTATTTATGAGAGAGATGCCTCTAGTGAAAGCTATGGCCCCCAGGTCCATTCACTTCTATTATAAAACAAAACATATAATTCCTCGTTGTTTTTATTTTTATTTTTATACCTACCGCTACCTGATTTGATACTTTCAACGGGTATAAGAACAAGGGGAGTGACGCCCCCTTGTCTTGTTGGGGTACAAGCATTTGTTTGTGTGTGTGCATGTACTGCTAAAGTTGTATATGTGGTGTCTCCTATTGGTTCAATAAACATTGGTTCTTAACTGGGGGAAATACTGTCTGCTACTATATATACTACATCTCCCTTCCTCTTCGGGGAATCCCAACACTATCACAAGTAGCACATGATCACCTATGCCGGAGGCGAGGATGGGTACGTAGTGGCGTCAGGTGATGGTATTGTGCTA